AAGTTATCAACATTTCCTAAAGTCACGTCAGCCCTCCCAGGGTTTTGCAATATACTTAAACATGATATTAAGCTAATCTCAGATGATGTACAACCCATTAGGCAATCAGCCTATCGACTAAATCCACAAAAAAGTGAGATTATGAAAAAGGAGGTAGATTTTTTGTTAAAACATAACTTAGCTGAGCCTAGTACCTCCCCCGCTTCACCTTGCCTTCTCATTCCAAAACCCGATGGCACTTTTCGTTTCTGTACCGATTATCGTAAAGTGAACCAGGTCACTGTCTCAGACTCCTACCTTTTACCTTTGATTGAAGATATAATAGACAGTATAGGCTGTGCCAAATTTATCAGTACGGTGGACTTATTGAAAGGATATTATCAAGTGGGACTCACGGATAGGGCAAAATAACTTCGGCATTTATAACTCCATTTGGTCTTTTTCAATATTTGGTTATGGCGTTTGGCTTTTCTAATGCTCCGGCCACATTCCAGAGGGCCATCAACTACCTTATTCAGGACCTAGGTGGGACGTTCGCCTACCTGGATGACCTGGTGGTGGTGTCGGACAGCTGGGACGAACATCTGGTGCGTTTGGAGATACTGTTTGCACGACTGCAAGAGACTGGATTCACCATAAACCTGGCTAAATCTGCTTTTGGCCGGGCCTCAGTGACTTACCTGGGACATGTCGTTGGGCATGGTATGGTGAGACCCAAGGACGCAAACGTTAAAGCCATCTTGTCCTTCCCCACTCCAAGGACGAGGAAGGAACTCGTGCGCTTCCTGGGGATGTGCGGCTACTACCGTCGGTTCTGCAGTAACTTCTCCAGCGTGGCCGGACCCCTCACAGACCTTACCAGTTCTGCGGTCCCTTACATCTGGAACCAGAAGTGCGACCAGTCTTTCCACCGCCTCAAAGCCTTCCTTGCCTCCAAGCCTGTAGTCCACCCCCGTGACTACACCTCGCCCTTCCATCTGCAAATCGACGCTAGTGGTGTCGGAGTGGGGGCTGTGCTCCTACAACCCGACCCAACCACTGATGTCCTTCACCCTGTGGCATATACTCCGCCAAGTTGAAAAAACATCAGACCAACTACTGACCATAGAGAAGGAGGCCCTGGCTCTGGTGCTGGGCAATAAAGAAGTTTGAATGTTACCTCCAGTCTTGCCCACAAACAACCCTAGTCTTCACCGACCATAACCCACTCACGTTCATCCAACCAGATTGTGGACTCCTTTATCCCCGAGCTCCAGTGGAAATGCAGCAGCTACTCTCCAGGCGCACCAGGTGATCACCTCTGCGCCCGCGCTACGGAGGTCTTTGAGGTGTGTTACGAACCCCTCCACCCAGTACTACGAACCACGCCATCTATTGTCCTGATCTACCTACCCAGCACCACGAGCAACGCCATCTAGGGACGAGACACGAGTATGACTCGTCTTAGTTACCACTCCCGGGTTTCCCTTCTCCATATCCTGGTTGTTGCGTCACCTCCTCAAAGTCTTCTTTGTCAGCTCCAATTCGAGGAGAGAGACTTGGCTCTGGGAAGTGACCACAGGATCATCTATCCTCTAAACCTATACGGACAGTGACTACCTACCGTCTTCTACAATACTCAGCCTTACTCGTCAGCCATCTCAGCTCCTCACTTAAGTACTTGTATCTTGTATTGCCTCCCCCACGTCCACTTGCTTCAAAATTATCGTATGTTGTATTAATATGTATATACTGTTAATGTTTAGGTTAAGTTTGGTTAATGGTAATTTATAAGCTGAATATTTTGTTAAGGGATTTATGGTACTCTATTATATACAACGAAACCTCGCATCCTTTGTCTACCCTTTTATAGTCCGATTGTCTTTGTTTTTTTTTTTTGTTACCTGTTGGGATCTGGGTAGACGTATAACTATATTCTAAATCCCCAACTACTATATATAATAGTTGTAATTATACTATTTGTACTACATATGCCTTAAACACATGCAATAGGCCCTGACATGCTTTAAATAGATGTACACTACCCAGCCAACAGTGCGTAACAGAGACGTGACCGACCGCCCAAGCAGCCAACGGATCAGTGGCGAAAAGGTTAAAGTAAAAAGCAAAAGTAAATTGAAACCGTAAGAACATGGGGCAGCACTTCCGATTTCCGTGAGGTAGGTCGTTTTACTACGGTTAGTCAGCTTCCACTTGTCTTTCTTGGGCTGACTCATGGAATTTTTTCCAGACCTCGAGAGATATTTTCTTTATTTACGGGAGCTTGCTAAAGATAACTGAAGATGAATTCTTTGTTAACTTTGCTTATCTGGACATGACCCGACCCTATAAACAAAAGGGAGGGGGGTGAAAAGAGAAGGATCCTTATTGGAAAATCCGTTTAAAAGTTAAATCCTCTAAAATAGATCACTATGGGAAATTTTCTGCGCTGATTAATAAAAGTTGGATAAAAGTTATGGGAAACCGTACGAGTCTTCCCTAAAAGAAAAATAAAAAACGAGAAAGAAAATTAGATTTTTCTTTTAAAGGTAAACTATTTTTAGGGGTAACTCCTTTGTTGTTCTCATTTGTAGACGGTAATCTTGTTCTCTGTGTTTACATTTTTCAGGGTCACTACTGCTTTCTCTCTCGAATTTTCCTAAAATGTCCTCTCTCTCTCTCTCTCTCTCATTAATTCTGACACTAGTTCACTTTGACTCTCAGGTAGGTAGAAGGATAATGCCAATACTCCCACATCCATCTGACCATAATGCCAACGAGACTCCGCAAGGTGGATAGCCCACCTGCTGTCATCCTCCTCCTATATTTCCCTCTTCTAAACTTTTGGAGCTGGCGGACGCTCGCCCCACAAGGGGTCACAGCTCAAGATTGAAGAAGCCGCAAGTCCAGAAACCGTGAGGGCAAACTTTTTCGGAGTGAGAGTTGTGAACTCTTGGAACAATCTACCAGAGAGTGTTGTGACGGCACCGAGTGTGAGCTCTTTCAAGACAAGACTTGACCAACACTGGAGCAGGTTCAGGTACATTCAGGAGCCGGTGCATGCCCAGTACTTGCCAACAGTGTATAACAGAGACGTGACCGATCACCAGGGCGGCTAGCGAGCCGATCAGTGGCGAAGAGGATAAAAGTAAAAGTTTACCTTGTACTGTACCCTTCTTGCACCCTCAGAGCTAATGATCTCTTCCCTCCGTATCACCAAACCAACCAACAGATCGTTAATGGATTGAGGCGCAGTTGGAAAAACAGCTCGCGAAAAACAACATAACGACAGTCAGTGAGGTCGGGAAAGGTGTCCATAAGAAAAAAAAAAGTACAGTTAAGTAAACATTTCACGAATAAATACCTTAAAGGTAACCTAACCTGTTTATGCTATTACTAAAGGGAAGTAGATATTAAGAATAGTTATTTGAATTTATGTTCAGTGTAAACCCCAGGCAGACGCGCTTACAGAGCTCCAACAAGACCCCAATGGAGATGTAGGGGAAAGAGGTGACCAACATGGGAACCCAACGACTACACCGACGGATGAAGGCAATGTACGAGGGACAGGCTACTAAGGCGAAAACCAACACACTGGGCTATCGGCAGTCCTTTGCATCTCTCCTCCCCACAGTTATTGGAGCTTCCTGCACCGCTGGAACAGGAAAAGGGAGAGCCACGAAGTGTGGTTTCAGCTTCCATTCCTGCCTCACCACATATATCAATTCACGTGCAGCCATCATCCAGCTCATCATACTTTTCATCATCATCAAAACCCTTATACTCCAAAAGTCCTTTGGCGACAGACAAGTGGCGACAATGACAGGCAGAGATGACTGCCGGGAGTCTCTTGTCACAACTGTGCACATGGGCGGCATAGATAAGATGATCATTTATGCACTGAGCTCTAGGCAGCAGTGCAATCCGGTCCTGTCTGTACGACTGAGCAGCCCTTACCAGGAGTCACTCTGCTCACCCCACATAGGGAGGGTGCTAGAAAAGGTGCCCTAAACATAGCCTACCTAAAGAACCAACCTGACTGGGAAACCGCACCCAGTAAGGTCATCCACTGCAGTCGAAAACATGAACAAAGCAAAAACAAACTATACAATCTCTTCTGGTCGTTGTAGGGAATGTGAGGACCCTTGTGGATATTGACACAAACCTGTTTTTGTGTCGACTGTACAGTACATTCCAACATTGTTTTCGTATGTATATTTATAACCGTATGTATATCTGCACCTGCATTGTCTATACATATTCTTAATCAATATGAGAACTTGTATGACGATTTTACTGTCTATCTAGATACCTGTTTATCTATCTATTGTCTCAGTGTGTACACAGTGCGTTGTCACCCCTGTATAACTTACGGTTCATCACTAGCACAGTTACGTTTATGTTGTGTTTACGACGACTATATGACATTACAAAATACGTTACATGTGGCATTTAATAATGTTACGTAATTCATGCAGCCAGTCTCCTACACTAAATGTCAGGACAATGTGTTTATTATAGATACTCTTAGTCATTAGACTGACTTCTATCCATATATCGTAAGAGAATTATTCAGATTATCTTATGAATTATTAATATCATAGCTGAAATGAGTGACTTTGCTGTACTCACTTAAACGTTTGGAGGATCAACCGAGCTGTTTACGGTTGTGACATCACAGCTAATGATGTGAACGGCTGATTTCCATCACTCTGAAAAATTTAGATTCATAGTTAACGTTATGGTGATTATTTCATAAGAAAGTTATCGAAGCTACACAATTGTAAGTATAATTATTTTTATTTACACTGACACATATTTCATTAAATCTCCACGTCAACGCGGTAAATCGATGTGTTCGTAAGTCACCCTCTAGCTCGCTCAGTAGAGAACGTTTACACTCCGATTCTTATTGCGTAACTTCCTGTGACTCTGAGTATTATTTTAAGTGTGTTTTTTTATCTGTTAACCACACAAACATGACCTAATATTATTCTTCCTCCCTCAGAGTTACCACACAACATCCAGTCATCGCCCAAGACGACCTGTACAAACGATTCCACGGCCTTCATATCCCACACAGGAAAGAAGAACTTCGTAGTGTTGATGTGGGTGAGGTAATACTTTGTCTGCCTGCAATAGACCACGAGCGAACTAGTGAAGAAGACCGGCAGGTGACGTAGAGGATTTTCTAGGAACCTGCCCTTTTGAAACCTCAGCCTTTGATGTTTGTTTTCAACGTTGATAAGAACTCACTCGTCGATGATCAATCCTGGATATGTGCGGTATCGTTGTTTTCCTTTACCCCGTCCTTCCCTTAACATCTCCAGTTCACTACACATTAATGAGAATTTTCGATTGACGTGGTTTTACAATACACTCAGAAACTAGAGAATTTCCACCAATCCTCGTTCTGGTGTATAAAGGGTACATCTCACGTCTACGTTCACCTTTGATGAGACTTCACGATACAAACTGAGTGTAAAATATGCTTGACGAGACAATGAAATGATTTTGTAGTGATGTGTGTGTGTTAAGTCATACATTACGTTAGACTATTGCCATGTGTTAAAGAACAAGTGTGCTAAAGAATAAAGGAAATCTGGATATTTTTCCCGCGAGTGTAATGAAAGAGAGATATTAGAACACCAGAAATGAAAATAGGAAATTGATATCACATTTACGAGAGCACCGCAGAGGTACTTTTGAACTTGTAGAGGTTTACGGTGGTGTGAATCAGCGTGGCACACACTCCTCCGTCATCATGAAAATAAGAGGGAGGAACCTACCGCTGGTGGTGAGTGACCTGACCCTTAACCCAAACCACCAACACTCACTTCCTTCCGCCCTCCATTCCTCCTTCAGGCTTCCTAACTCCTCCCTCCACTCTCTATTAGGGAATGAAGGACTCTACTCCACTCCTTATGACTCCCTCCCCGGGATGACCAGCACAGAGTCGTCGTTTACAATATACGACACTTTGGTCCTGACGAATGACACCAACGCTACGAACACGGGTACAGGTTACGTGCCCTACTACGAGCGCCCAGAAACCTACATTGTGCCCATACTCTTCGCTGCCATCTTCATTGTCGGCGTCATAGGTAAGGTGAAGGGGGAAGGGGGAGGGAGAAATATGGGACGGGGTGCAGGAAGACATGTACCTGTAGAAAGGGGAAATGAACGTGAGAAAATGTGAGGGTAAAGAGGAAAAGAAGAAAGTGAGAGAGAGAGAGAGAGAGAGAGAGAGAGAGAGAGGATACAATATTAAGCTCGTCACTGTTTACACCAGCAGCACTCTCCACCAGAGGTTGTTTGTGTTCGCCTCAACAGAATAATACCCTCCTAGAAACTATCAGGTTCCATTACTGATTTAAAAGGCTTGCGGATGTACCCAATCACCTGAGATACACACATCTATTTTGTCCATTATTCCTGAAATATACTGAGATACGACCTTAACTAGATTACTGTCTTCACTCCGCACTAACTAACATAATGGTAGAAAATATTTATATAGAACCCGTAGAGTAACTTTGTTAGAGTAACTTTGTTCCTTCTCTGGTAATAAGTTTATTTAGGTGGTGGTGACCCTGGCTCCCCCTACACAAAGACAGGGTGTAATACATCTTCCTTAAAGTACAGTGTTGAGGATGTGGTTTGTCCCCCTTAATGATATGTTCGGTGAAGCTTACATTTAGGTATATATTTTCTGACTCCCCCCATGACTCTTCCCCCCTATCCTTCACCCTCTTCCCCGACCCTCAGAATCTACAACCCACCCTACCCCACCCCCACTCCACCCCCACCCCACCCCACCCCACCCACACAGGCGTCCAACTGATGGGGTCATCTCCTGAAGTCTGAAGGGAGGGGGGAGGAACGTACAGGAGGAAGAGGATGAAAGGGAAGAGGAAACTGAGGAGTTTTTATTGTTGAAGGAGACGAAACTGATGCAGATAAGGAGGAGAAGAAGGAAGTGAATATGAAAGATTAGAACTGGATATGGCGGGTGTGGAAGGACGGAAGAGTGTATAGATGGGTGGAAGAGTGTATAGATGGGTGGAATATGGGTATGGAACTGTGGAAGAATGTATGGAATGATGAAAGAATGGAGAGGTAGGTGAAAGAGTGCAGGGAAGCACCAATACAAGACTCACTACCCAAGGTGTCCTCCTACAGGTAACGGGACGCTGATCATAATCTTCGCCAAGAACAGGAACCTCCGCAACGTGCCCAATACCTACATCATCTCCCTGGCGCTGGGTGACCTGCTTGTCCTCTTCTTCACCGTCCCCTTCGTCTCCACCATCTACACCATCGAGTCGTGGCCCTATGGCAACTTCGAGTGCAAGTTTAGCGAGCTGGTGCGAGATATATCAGTTGGAGTGACAGTGTTCACCCTCACGGCGCTGTCTGCTGACCGCTATCTCGCCATCGTCTCTACCGTCAGAAGGGTAAGATTGGAACAACCAGTCATGCTGTGTTATCAACTATTTCTACTCCTACTACCCACTTCTATCCACTTGTTGTCATTCCACTGAACCTTTTTCACCCCTGTCACTTGGGATGTATGCATGTATGTATTGGCGTAAATGGCCAAGGGCGGGACCCTCCAGATGGAAGTGCACATGGTATTTCTTTGGTTATGTTACATGAAGATTCATAGCCTGGCTGACTGGGTTAACTTAAAACGTTCCTGTGTACGGGTACAGTCACTTACGTTACTTCTGGACGGTGTTAATCGTGGACAGTAATTTAAGATATTGATTTCTGCATCAATTACTTCCTTGTTTGCTGTCATTCCCCGAATTATTGTGTCTCTGTAGTAAGGTATCACTGCTCCTAGTAATAGTACCAAGAAGGAAGAATCATCTTTGAGAGTTAACCATTCTCAGTGTCCAATATGGTTCATTTTTTGTGTAGTTTCTTAACCACAGCAGCACATCAGTTGCCCATACTGTCACCTTATGCCTCTCTCTTCACCTTCACAGGCTGCGGGTGGTGCGGGCCGCAGGACATTGCGGGCTGCAGTTGGGATCTGGGTAGCGGCAGGTGTGTTGGCCACGCCAGCGGCCTTGTTCTCTCATGTGCGGGAGTTCAATGTGTCGGAGGAGAAGAACATCAGTGTGTGCTTCCCGTTCCCCGAACACTTCCCCGAGTGGTACCCCCGCGCCAATATCATCGTCAAGGCCCTTCTCTACTACCTACTGCCGCTGGTAGTCATCGCCACCTTCTACCTGCTCATGGCCAGGCATCTACTGTCTTCAGACGATGTGCCGGGTGAGTCACACGTCTTCCACCGTCAGTTGAGGACCAGAAGGAAAGTAGCCAAGATTGTATTGTGCTTCGTACTCATTTTCGCCGTGTGCTTCCTGCCAACGCACGTCTTTCTCTTGTGGTTCTACTTTGACCCTCAGGCCTCCGTCAAGTATAATGAGTTCTGGCACGCCCTCCGGATCATCGGCTTCTGTCTCGGATTCATCAATTCATGCATCAACCCCATCGCCCTCTATTGTATCTCCGGCACATTCAGGAAGTACTACAACCGCTACCTCTTCTGCTGCTGTCGCTGGGTAGACCGTGGACATCGAACACGATCTTTCCTGCAGCCGGGGCGCTCCGGGATGTCCCGGTGTCGATCCTTCACCATGCGGGGAACTGAGACTATCACCCTCACCACGCTCATCCAGGAGAGGGCCTCCCCAGCTATCTCTTGACACACGCCCACAAACTTCTACTCTCCCGCTTCCACTCGCCCGTATTCCCCCACTTCCACGCAGCAGACCTACTCCCCCGCGGTTACACGCCCTTACTCTACCAACGACCACGAAAACTATGATACTAACCACCACGACTCGCCCTCGTGTGGTCGCCAGTTGGTGGTGGCCGACGATCGAGATCTGGGTAGCAGCACCAGTATCTATGAGGAGGTAGCGTTATGAATCTCAGGTGGTATGAAGGCTCCAGATGTGTATTGTAAAGGCTATCGTGTGGTGTGAGGATCCTCAAGTGCTCTATGAACGTCCTTTGCATGATGTTAAGGCCGCCTTTACAACGTGTGAGGCTGTACATTATACAGCTACAGTGTCGTGTTGCTCCTGAGGCATCACGAGGGTCTCTCTCCGTCGTCCAGTTGTTATAAACTCGTAGTAAGTTCCTTGATGTCATTACCCTGTGAGGGTAAACATCCACACCAGTCCAGCAGCAACAATTAATTATTATCATGTTATTTTGAGGCGCCAGTCTCAAATATTTAGAAGAATTAAACCCCGTCCACAGGCTACAGGGGTCACCATTAACGCTTGAAGTGTGTGTGTGTTATTATTGTTGTGTGTTCTCTGTCACTAGCGTAGCTAGAGGGGCGGCACTTTTGGGTCTGCTCATCACCCATATCTGCAGCTACTGGAGACGTTAATCCATCCCTTTGTATCGGCGGCAAGTTAATCCTTGTCGTGTCTGACCTAACACCTGACCCACATCATCACGGCCACGTCATGAGCTACACCCTTGCTATGCGCCCCCCCCGCCACACACACAACCTGTAACCTGTTGAGGATTAAGGAAACAACTTCAAACAAGTACGCCAGTGAGCTCATGTGGTGTGGGTCAGGTGTTAGGTCAGACACGACGAGGATTAACTTGCCGCCGATACAAAGGGAAGGATTAACGTCTCCAGTAGCTGCAAAACCATGCAATCTCGGGTCATATCAGTTCATGTACAGCCGACCAATCCACCAGTTTCAAGCAATTCACTTCAGTTCTGCACAAGTCTCCATCGTGACAAGACGAGTGAGTCACTGTGCAATATGTATTTTTTGTGGGGGCACGGGGGGGCGGCAAACTCAAGGGCCGCCCCGGGCGGCACACACTCTAGCTACGCCACTGGGTGTGTGTGTGTGTGTGTTTGTAAAAATATTAAAACAGGGTATTGCTATCGATGAAACTTCATATGTGTTGAGATCGACCGAGAAAGGTGTGACTCGACAGTGGAGAAACTTAGGTGAGAGGTAAGGTCTGAATGAGCCGAGGTCAAAACTGCCTTTATTATTATTATTATTATTATTATTATTATTATTATTATTATTATTATTATCATTATTATTATTATTACCTCCTTATCACCAGTAGAGATAAATATCATATCATAAGCTTCCATATTGTGTGATGCAATAATAATTAATACTATATAATATGTGATAATATAATTCGTATGTCTAACTAACCTCAAACCCTGTAACCTAACCTACTGTAACTCATACACAATTTAACCTTAGCTAACTCAAACCTAACCTAACCTTAACTAATTCAACCCAACCTAACTTTAAGCCTACCCTAACTTAACTGTTTATATCTTCACCTAACCTCATCTACCTCAAACCTACAGTAACTTAGCCTTAACCACATCTCTCTTACATTAACTAACCTAACCTAACCTAACCTTAACTAACCTAGCCTAACCTAACCTAACCTTGACAACCAACCTATCGTAACCTAACCCTAACCAAATAAACCCACGGATTCAGTTCAAAATTAAGGTTCGGTTTCGGGGGATTCAATTTGGTCAAAATAATACTAAATTTAGCAACAGTGACCTTGAGACGTTTATAACAAGCCAGAGTGTTTAATAAAGACGCTTTCTATGTTACCTGGGAGGGGGGGTAAACACATCCACATTTAGATTAACTTAAGTGTGTAGTCATATGATAAGTCATATGATATAATTTATTTAGATTTCAGTAAAGCATTCGATAGAGTCCCTCATGAGAGATTGATAAGGAAGGTAGAAGCACATGGAATAGGTGGATCAGTATTAAAATGGATTAGGTCATGGTTAACTGGTAGGAAACAAAGAGTCAGCATAAATGGATTAAAGTCAGACTGGGGTGCGGTCAAAAGCGGAGTTCCTCAGGGATCTGTAATGAAGCCCTCTGCTGTTTGTTATATTCATTAATGATCTTGATTGAAGGCATAACTAGTAGGATTGAAGTAAAATTTGCAGATGATACCAAAATGGGGAGAGTGATAAATTCAGACAGTGACTTTGAACTCCTTCAAAAGAATCCTCTAGATACCTTACATGAGTGGTCAGTAGACTGTGATATAGTGCTGATAAATGCAAATTGTTACTACAGATAGGAAGACGAATACAAACGTTAAGTATAAACTAGGTAACACAGGATAAACTCGGTTGTGAAAAGTTCTAGGTGTATTTGTTAGCAACGACTTGGAAACCCTAGAAAACAATGTATTAGCGTTACTTAACAAGGCAAACAGGATTCTTGGGTTCATATCTAGGTCTGTGAGTAACAGGACTGCTGACGTTATCTTGAAACTTTACCTAGCATTAGTGAGGCCACACATGGATTATGCGGTTCAGTTCTGGTGTCCTTATTATAGAATGGACATAGATTCTTTGGAGAGAGTACAAAGAAGAATGACAAAAATGATCCATAATATTAGAAACCTTCCATATGAAGAAAGACTGAGTTAGGGGAGATATGATAGAGGTGTACAAGTGGGTAAGTGGGATTAACAAGGGTAAAATGGAAGATGTTCTGAAGCTCAGTAATAACGAAATAACTAGAACAAATGGCTTTAAATTAGATAAATTCCGATTCAGAAAAGGATATAGGCAAGCACTGGTTTGGTAATAGAGTTGTGGATATGTGGAATAGACTACCGAGTGCTATAGTAGGATCGGGGACGCTAGGGAGCTTCAAGACGAAGTTGGATAGGCACATGGAAGTGCTGGGATGGGTGTGAAAGGGATCTGCCCTGTATGGGCCAGTCGGCCTCCTGCAGTATCCCACTTTCTTATGTTCTTATGTAGTCGTTACGTCTTTTATGTCCAGGAATTCATCCACTTCTGTGACGTGAACCAATCAGGTGGATTAAGGATGATACAGTGTGTAATAGATGGAAGTTGCCGCGTCACCATGACCAAAGAGAGTTGCTGCGCCATCATGAAGTAACAAAGTTGCTGCGTCACCATGACCAAAGAGAGTTGCTGCATCATCATGAAGTGACAAAGTTGCCGCGTCACCATGACCAAAGAGAGTTGCTGCATCATCATGAAGTAATGAAGTTGCCGCGTCACCGTGACCAAAGAGAGTTGCTGCGTCATCATGAAGTAACAAAGTTGCCGCGTCACCATGACCAAAGAGAGTTGCTGCATCATCATGAAGTAACAAAGTTGCCGCGTCACCATGACCAAAGAGAGTTGCTGCATCATCATGAAGTAATAAAGTTGCCGCGTCACAGTGACCAAAGAGAGTTGCTGCATCATCATGAAGTAACAAAGTTGCTGCGTCACCATGACCAAAGAGAGTTGCTGCATCATCATGAAGTAACAAAGTTGCCGCGTCACCATGACCAAAGAGAGTTGCTGCATCATCATGAAGTAACAAAGTTGCCGCGTCACCGTGACCAAAGAGAGTTGCTGCGTCATCATGAAGTAACAAAGTTGCCGCGTCACAGTGACCAAAGAGAGTTGCTGCGTCATCATGAAGTAACAAAGTTGCCGCGTCACAGTGACTAAAGAGAGTTGCTGCGCCATCATGAAGTAACAAAGTTGCTGCGTCACCATGACCAAAGAGAGTTGCTACATCATCATGAAGTGACAAAGTTGCCGCGTCACCATGACCAAAGAGAGTTGCTGCGTCATCATGAAGTAACAAAGTTGCCGCGTCATCATGAAGTAACAAAGTTGCCGCGTCACAGTGACCAAAGAGAGTTGCTGGGTCATCATGAAGTAACAAAGTTGCTGCATCACCGTGACCAAAGAGAGTTGCTGCGTCATCATGAAGTAACAAAGTTGCTGCATCACCGTGACCAAAGAGAGTTGCTGGGTCATCATGAAGTAACAAAGTTGCCGCGTCACCGTGACCAAAGAGAGTTGCTGCGTCATCATGAAGTAACAAAGTTGCCGCGTCACCGTGACCAAAGAGAGTTGCTGCATCACCTAAAGTCGTATATAAAGGTCGAGATCTGGATACTTTGTATACGTACAGATGAGCGATTTTCTTTCTTGACTGTTGAAAGACTGTTTAGAAGCAGTTGCCAGACTGTAATTTAGATGTTTTCTGTTTCCCAATCTCTGTAGGAAACACCATACATAGTTTGCATATGTGGACGTGGTTGGGAACACGAGCCGATGTTTAGTCAACGAGTGGGCTTGTGATGCGGCTTTGTGTTTTCTTTGCCCCTTGGCTCGCAGTGGCGGCCTATGCTCAGTGTACATTTATGAGCTGCTCGGTCCGTCCAGCTGCTCTCACGTCCACAAAAAAAGTAAAATTACACCTTATTATAGTAAGTTCTTTCAGTTTAATAAACAGAGCCCCACGGCTAGGAAGTTAGGTAAGGTTAGGTAAGTTTCTTTAGTTTGGTTGGTATGGTCTTCTAACACTGTTTCTGCTGCTTGTTTTTTTTAATTAACTAAGGCTAGGTAAGATTTAATTTAGAAAATACCACTGTTTAACACATTTGTCTAAACTACCACAGTGTCCACTACAAAACACAGTGAAATTATGGCGTTTTTTAAATAATTTTCAATGAAAAATCGGCGACGGGTATCTCGTCAATAATTACCGTAGATTCCATCAGGGCATTAATGAGAACTCCACACGCTTGTTGATTGTTGAGTTCTGGTAAATAAGTCCCCGCTGACCAACTATCTTAACGTAACTGATCGTCTCTTTATTGACGGGACTAAAGCTCGATATTTTGTATCCATTCCCGAGAATTTTTTAAATTTCTAATGTAAAATTTCAAGGTTAGAAGCGAATGTTCCTAAAAATTTCTAAATTCAGCTCCATCCTCTATTTTATGCCTTCCTCCAAAATGTCTTCACCCACCTTACCTGCCGTCTCTTTCCCCCAATACAAATACAAAATAAGTAACAGAGGCTTCGTCTTCACTCAGTCACATCACCTATAAAATCTGCTATTCTCGGTGTAACTTGTAGCAGGTCTGGACACCCAACAAAGCTTATCATTGTATCCCTGACCATATGGTTTCTAAACAGTCTCTTAATAGTCAAGACATAACATCGTCCCTCTGTATGTATAGTACAGAGTGATTCTCAGTTCCTTGCAGTAAATTACAGGGTGTATTCCTGGGATAATTCCAAGGCACAAGGTCAAGAGAGAGACCTTCATCAAGTCACGGGCGCGAAAGACCAGTAATTTCTATTAACTATTTCTCGCCACTAAAGTTTATATTAGTTGTGCAAATCAAGAGTAATTATATTACGAAGCTCTCGTGATCCAATGATTCCCCGACCCATCCATCCTCAAGCTAAGAAACAAGTCCAAATGTGTTATATCTTTGAGTAGAATTTTAGACTATCTAATCCTGTGTATTGTCACCGGTACTAATATTCAAGTACACTTCAGTTGGGACAATGGTTAGGGCAAGTCATCTTACGGTGGTGTAAAGAAACACTAGAGTAACATGTATTATTGAGGCGACATACATCATCGGTCGTCCATAACGGGTCGTAACACGGTGTAAATTTTAGAATCCCTTTGTTATTTACTTATGCCAGGAAAATAGTGCACAGACTACGCCATTCATAATTATTAAACAGCAATCATACGTAATCTTTCAGAGTTTTGATGGTGTAGCCGTGGCACACTTTTTAACTGTAATGGAGTGGGGTCTCGTATCATTACTTCGCCAATACCATGGGATCTGAAGTTCTACCACATAATTAGTCTGCGTAAACCACTTTTCCAAAATTCTTGCCACTCATTACCTCAAACTCTTTCATGTGCTGTAGCTTGGAAATTATGTGGATTCCGACATTTAGTTGTATCGATCTTGAGCCTCAGAATTGTCCCAGGAACACAACCTGCAATTCACTGCACGGAATTGAGAATCATGCTGTATTCAATGTTTCCAAACAAGCTATCCGGGCTGGCCTTACTTTAAGGCTCTGTCAGTTGCAGCGACACGCGTCACTCAGATAAGGTTGTCTGGAGTTTCCAACTTTCTCTCTTGACAGTTTTCTTGAGTGTGTCACGATTCATGACACACATAATGAGACAGACTGACTCATATGTCCCGTCAGCTGTTGATCACACTGAGTGAAAAGAAGATTAATTACCCATCGTTTTTCATCTATTCATCCACCTAGATAAATGTTATTTCTTGGAGGTATCAGCAGTCTGCACAAACTATTGGTGTAAACACTTATTTATTGTTGTACGATCAATGTCAAAAACATTTAACATCGGTATTGCGAACTTTTTGCAACTCATTCCAGCTTTTGTTCTTTCGTGTTCATTGTTCTCTGTAAAATGTTGACATATTGTAAACACTGGTCGTAAACATGTTGTCTGTGTACCTGTATGTTCACCTTCACCTGTGTGTGTACCTGTGCCTTCACCTTCACCTGTGTGTACCTGTGTTCTCACCTTCACCTGTGTGTGTGTGTACCTGTGTCCTCACCTTCACCTGTGTGTGTACCTGTGTCCTCACCTTCACCTGTGTGTACCTGTGTCCTCACCTTCACCTGTGTGTACCTGTGTCCTCACCTTCACCTGTGTGTACCTGTGTCCTCACCTTCATCTGTGTGTACCTGTGTCCTCAACTTCACCTGTGTGTACCTGTGTCCTCACCTTCACCTGTGTTTACCTGTGTCTTCACCTTCACCTGTGTGTACCTGTGTCCTCACCTTCACCTGTGTGTACCTGTGTCCTCACCTTCACCTGTGTGTACCTGTGTCACCACCTTCACCTGTGTGTGTGTACCTGTGTCCTCACCTGTCACCTGTGTGTGTGTACCTGTGTGTCTTCACCTGTCCTGTGTTCTCACCTTCACCTCTGTGTACCTGTGTCCTCACCTTCACCTGTGTGTACCTGTGTCCTCACCTTCACCTGTGTGTACCTGTGTCCTCACCTTCACCTGTGTGTGTACCTGTGTCCTCACCTTCACCTGTGTGTACCTGTGTCCTCACCTTCACCTGTGTGTACCTGTGTCCTCACCTTCACCTTAGAGTTAATACATTGTTTTAATGCTCACTGTATTCGGCTGAAGACAAATAAGTAATCGGATGTGTCTGAAGAGTGTTTCTATGTGCTTTAAAGCCCACAGTGTGTACGGGCACAAGGCAGCTTTAAATAAATAGAAAACATTTATATACAAAGGAACTGTACGTACTACTTGTTAATAATTACATAAAGTTGAAGTGTTAAAGTTAAGGTCAGTTGTAATTATAACATTTTAATTACCATAACACAAATGATTAAGTACAATAATACCCCCAATATCAAGATGATTCAAGTACAGTACTAGTAACTCTGACCAATACAAGACGCCCCGGGCAAGAACGGCTGACAAAACGACTTCTTTAGATGTGTTTATTTATATCAGTGTAACTATTTCAAAACTACTAAACATAAATTGCGTTTTCTGGTTTGTTTACTACTTGCTCGGAGCGCCTCGCATATCATGACTACAGGTACAGGTGCTGAACATACACATGCAATCTAAAAGTAAGAAACTCAGACTCTACTGTACCACCCAAGTAAACGAGATTAAAAGTTGTGGTCCAAACAGATACAAACCCTGTAAATATTAGTACAGACAGCAAGTAAACGTTTTAGACTGGAGGCCCGCCGTGGTCACCAGCCCTCAGACGACCCCCCACAATCAACTGAATGGCCTCAGTCTGCTGCACATCCCTCTTGTTCTTACGAAAAACATAAATGATCAGTTCAGTTATTATCCCCAAGGAGATTTTTTTTCACTTGTAGTCGACCGTTTCTTAACAGTTCGCCAAAATATACAGCTGTTCCTATGCAGTTGCTTATAATTAGCAAGAAAATTTAAAATGGTATCCACGTCCAACGTTTATATGCTGTGACCATGATCCAATGTTTACTATAAGTAGAACAAGGTAAATAAACTTTATTGTTAATAATGAAGATGTATAAAGACCTTTAATCACCTACAAAGCGTGGCTTCTGTGATGATCCTCCACACACACACACACACACACACACGCTGATTATAGTACTTCAGCTACACATGGTTGTATTTCCTCAGCATCTTACTGACAGAACAGAACGGAAAGCTATTAAAAATATGCTTAAAAAATGAACATATTCTAATGACTGAATGTTCAATTCTTTTAGTATTGACGATTCTCTTGCGAACCATTGTTGTAGAGTTGAGTGAAGAAGGTAGACGCCTTCTGTTGGTCTTGGGAATGAAAACCAGTACAGACAGTCAGTAAAAATCCTCGGCTCTTGTCGTTCACTTGATGAGCTTCTCCCGCTCCTTCAGGTAATTGTACAGCCATTGAATTTAATAAGCTAAAGGTTCACGTGAAAATTAACCCCCTCTAGCTTATTTCACCTGATAGTTAAACATTAACGTTACCTGGGGGAAGGGGTGGGTTAGGTTAGGTTAGCGTTAGGGTGTTTAATCATTAAGTGAAATAAACTGGGGTGGCTAATCTGCATGTAATCCAAGCAAGTATAATAAAGTATTTGACTCAGTTGATTTACCTTCTTTCAGTTAAATAAAACCTTCTGACTCTCAGTTTATTACAAGACTGACTGCTCTTATATACAAGACATTGACACGAGAACTTATACAGTACATATCACAAGGCAGTTCTGTTAACCTCACTCTCTCTTGATATAACTGAAGCGGTTCACACTAAAATACACCTTACTCTTGACTCATTTATACCAGGTGTTGGACCAATTTCTGTTACATGTTTGTTTGTGTCACACTGATTTATTAAAGTTGTTTATATATAGAATGGTGTTCGACCTTATCCGACTATTTCTATAATGTATGCTATCTGGTTCTTTCTATAATGTACTATCTATTTTTATAACAGACATGACTATATCTGACAAAATTATATTCTCCTTAGTGTTTTACTCAATCCTACAGTACTCGTCTTGGGTCTACTATTCAAAGACCAATACATTATGATCTAATGGATGTCATATTGGGAGCAAATGTTGTTAAATCCTGCAGTTATGATGATCGATTCTCTCAACTTCTACCACATGTGTACTACAGTAGGAAGGCTGGTGAGAAAACCACGTGAATACTCTGACATCCAGTACAATCCCATGTTATTTTAAGACCAGTAACTATGCCATTGAGAGTACTGGATGGTTTTGTTGCTTATCCTTGGTGAACTCGACTACACTTTACCAATCTTTGTATATCTGCACTGTCTACTGTACGTACGTTGTTTGTATACCTACACTCACTGTCTATTGTATGTTGTTTGTATAAATTGTTTGTATACCTGCACTGTCACTATAAATGTTGATTTAATGTAAACTTGTACGTATAATGATTTTACTGAATAAATATTGATATCTTTATCTATCCACCTATCTATCTATCTATCCTGTTAAATAAGCTAAGAAGTACTGTACTTAGACCATACTGCACGTATTTATTATGTCATCCCAAGGTGTATTTTGTGAGGGGTTTTCTGATGGTTTACGAGACCCAAAAGTAAGACCTAAAAGAAATAAACCTAAAATAAAGACCTCAAAAAGTTAAACCTAAAGGTACGACCAAAAAAATAAAGCACCTACATGTAAAGTAAGACCTAAAAGTAAGAGCTAAAATTAACACCCAAAAGTAAAACAAACTAAAAGTAACAGTGAAAAGTAAGTCACCTTGAAGTTGGGCACAAAAAGGCAAAGCAACTGTGTTAACGTTCAAGGCGGTGTTAAGAGAGTTCATTTGTGTTAGTATTCACATCGTTTCTATCAGCTAATGATTCACAGCAGGATACCTTTATATAATTTCATAACCGAACGTTCTGTAGCCGTTATAACCGATCGTTCATTCTTTCTTTCTTTAAAAATATAACATCAGTATTATATCGAGGAATTATATACGATGGATGGCTAACTGATATACGTAAATTATGTACAGTTTGGTTCAGAAGTTTGCTCCCGTGCCTCAAGTTTCACCACAGGGTAGGGAACTTTTGTACCCGACTGTACAGTACTTTATGAAGACAACCTGAGGACAAAGACGCCGTGACCAGAATAACTGATCATAACAAACATCTATAATTACTGCCAAACAACTGTAAACACTGCCAAACAAATTAAAATATTGCCAAACAAATACAAATATTGCCAAACAACTGAAAATATTGCCAAACAACTGAAAATATTGCTAAACAACTGAAAATATTGCCACAACTGAAAATATTGCCAAACAACTGAAAATATTACCACAGAACTGATAATATTGCTAAACAACTGATAATACAGTATTGCCAAACAACTGAAAATATTGCCACACAACTGAAAATATTACCACACAACTGATAATACAGTATTGCCAAACAACTGAAAATATTACCACACAACTGATAATATTGCCAAACAACTGAAAATATTGCCACACAACTGATAATATTGCCAAACCACTGATAATATTGCTAAACAACTGAAAATATTGCCACACAACTGAAAATATTGCCAAACAACTGAAAATATTGCCAAACAAATGAAAATATTGCCAAACAACTGAAAATATTGCCAAACAACTCAAAATACTGAAAGACGGTCTGCTGTTAAACAATATCAAATCTGAGGTTCAGTATTGTAGTCGAGACTTGAGATCACCGAGAGAGGAACTTGATATCGAAACCGAGACACTATCGAGGACCAACACGACTTTATGCATACTTCATACATGTGTATGAATTTGAAACACGTTGAATACATCTCTGTTCACCAATAAATGAATATTTAGCTTTGACATGTACTTAAATATCATACTATTTCTATCATGACATCATTTTTTGTTTTTTTAATTACAATAGATCAAGAAATTGTTCATTCACATATATCGATACATCTGTAGGTGTAATAATATGCCTAAATAAACCGTAAATACAAGATAGAGTACAGGGGATCAACTGAATTTTCGGTGCCAAGCATATTTTGTTTTTTGTTTTTTCACCTGGATATTAACCACCTTTATACTACCTGGGAAAGTGGTTAGTCTAAGTTAGGTTAAGTTTGGTTATGCTAATTTAGGTTAGTTTAGGTTGAGTTAGGCTATGATAATTTAGGTTAGGTTATGTTATGCTAGGTTGGTTAATTTTCAGGTTAAAATGAGCTGAGGAAGCGATTATTCGGGTGATCCCTTTAAAGGTACAGTAGAGTTATATTAGTCATTGCCTCTACCCACGTCCACAATCACCTCAACTTCTCGTCAGTCCATCATCCTCCAACCAAGTCATCAGGCAGCTTCTGCATCACAGCCAAAACTTCCTCCGTTGAACTCCAGGAAGCGTCTGATCTTATTTTGAAAGCGACACACCCACCTGCCGGGAGAGAAGGATAGTTACTCTCTCTCTCTCTCTCTCCCACTTATACATATTTACTTTTTTCCCTCCCAGAGCAATTCGCATTAATAACTCTCTCCCTCTTTCTCTCTTATGCTCTCTCTTTTTCTTACACCCCTATTCTCTCTCTCTCTCTCTCTCTCTCTCTCTCTCTCTCTCTCTCAACTCACCTTTCACAGCCACAGACTTGGTTAGAGTAACAGAAGGTAGTATCCTCAGGGGCTGGTTTGCAATCTTTCAGTTCCTTGCACTTCACCTTGGTCTTCCTACACCTGCGGAACAGATATATATATTCTTGATTTGATTTCTTCCTTACATCTACCATCACAGCTTATGTTACTTCACAAATACACAAAATTTTCCACTTGTTTAAGTTCCTTGTTGCTTACCATAATTTTTATTTCAGGATTTATTTCCAATTTGGAAACAATCATTATTTTAGTCTTAACCCATATTTTTCACCCCCTTCCACTAATTTGTTAATGAGTTTTTGTAATGCCTCCTCACTATCTGTGATAAGAGCATTATCATCTGCATAGTGTATATTTGATAATACTTTACCATTAACTTTAGTCCTTCATTATCACTTATAACTTTTCTCATTAAGGATTCTGAATATACTGTACATGTTGCACAATATTGAGGATAGAACACAGCCTTCTCTTACTCCTGTCTTAACTGTGAACCATTTAATAAGTACATTAATTACTAATACCGCAGCCTCCTGTTGCCAGCAAAGGTTCTTTAAAATTCTAATATCTCCTTCATTAATGCCTATTTTTTTCAAGACCGCTATAACTTTTTGTGCTTTACCCCATCAAAAGCTCTTCCAAAACCAACCAAGCAGATATACAAGTTTCTTTGGCCCTCTAAAACACCTTCACTCAAAATTCAGTCCAGTAAATACAAACACCTGTAGTAATAAGTGCAAAGATACCTGGAGAAACATTATATTCTAGAGAATTGTGATGGATGAAAATTGAAAGTTTATTCGATATACAAAATAATTGCCTGACGTAATATAGAACATAATGTGTAAAAATAAGAGTAAAGTCACTTGATAAAACGATATAAATTCACCAGAAAAACTATAATGATATATAACGCAAAATACACTGAAATGAGATGACCTTATGTGAATGTATATCACTGAATACATAAATAGCCAGCAATTATTAAATCTAATGTATTAGTGTTCAGTGGTAGCATTTACTTCTCCCCGTAAGGTACTTATAGTAATGCACCCATTGATGCGGTTCATTTTATTGGTCACTGAAATTATATCATTTACATTCCACAGGAAGATGAACCGACCAAATTGTGGGTTAATGTTTGTAAAGTCGCCTGCACTTATACCTGGTACAGTGGCTGGCGCATTCTGTGAGATGTGGCAACTCTGTGGAATGCTTATACTAATAGCATCATTAGTCCGGCTACAAGTGCAAGGTTCCTTGGGGCCATTCCTGGAGTTCAATAAGATGTAAACAAACACAGAGTTGCCACACCTCACAAAACATGCCAGCCACTGTACCAGGTATAAGTGCAGGCGACTGTGCGTTGACATGCTGGGTGTCATCTATAGTGTACAGTGACTCACAGACAAGACAGTCCAGCCTGTTTGTGGTGGAGGTCGGTACAGTATCTTATAGTGCCTGGGGGAACTGATGGTCCTCCCTTGTGAGGGACCACGTACACCTGAGGTTGATGGTCCTCCCTTGTGAGGGACCACGTACACCTGAGGTTGATGGTAAGACCTAGCATATCTGTTTTAGAACTTAGCACAATGATTGCGTCCTGAAATGTGATTGGTGGGAGATCATCTAATTTGGGAAGTGTAATTGGTAAATACTGAGTTTTATTACTATTGAATTTAACCAAGTTTCTACCTCCCCATTCGGAGATGCTGCACAGATCCGCATTGATAGATGTAATGATATCAGCTCTAGAAACAGATCTAGTTTGAGAATTAGGGGGAAGGGGAAAATGTGAAGAAGAGTGAAGAGTAGAATCATCAGCATAAGAATGGATGGAATTAGTTGTAGTGTGTCTTAATTAATGAAACAATAATAGTTTCATGTTGGCTTCTCGCCTCCGAGCTGAATATTTATTCATCTCGTTCATTTATAACATTGAAACACAGGAAAAATATGTTTGTTACCACCTCAGTTACCTTATCTATCATCAAGATAACATTCCCAAACGAAAAGCCGAGATAACTGTAAATAAAAGTGACACACACACACACACACACACACACACACACACACACACACACTTAGCCTAGTGACTCACTTGCAGCATTTCCCATTGCTAATCCAAGACGGCTCAAGATCAGAGCGGACGCAGAACTCCCCTTCACCTGGCGGCTCCACCACCTGCCTCGCTGTGTGGGGTAGGGGATGGGGGTTGTTATAATGTATTATTTCACCTCAACATTAAGTCCTTTAAAGACCTACTCTAAGATACTCCTTACACAAGTTACCAACAACTAAAATTAAGAGAAATACTTTCATCAATAGTCAGTAAATAAACAGCTGCGTCATCACAATGTTATGTTACTCCCCTTCAACAATTACCTATCCTATATTTAACTATTTCCTTCCTAAATCTAATTTAGTTAAGTAATAGAATTGTATAGATGAGTGGAACAAGTTACCAAACTCCATCATTCATATTGGGAAACTTCAAGCATAGATTGGATCGATACAGTATATGAGTGATGTGGCTGATTATAAACAGGAACTGGCTCGCCTAGGACAATAATTCTACCACAGTGTTCCTTACTTTGAGACACAGCCAACATAGGTGAAACACGTACCTTTTATATGTGTGCAACAAGTAATGTGACAATCCATCAAATATTATGTAGCCATCAAGTGTGAACTCTTTCAGGTTCACACTTGGTTACAGCGCTGGGGAATGTGTAAATATATTCATGAATCTGTACGTATCCAGTCCTGTACGTGCCTAGAACTATACGTACCTAATACTGCACGTGTCCAGTACTGTATGTGATATCATGACTGTGGCTTATATTTAATGTCAGATTAATAGTCATATATCGCAAGTAAATCCATATAAAACTTTAAGCATACTTAATTCTAGCTCACTTTAATGCCGTGTTCTGAGTCCTCCCTTTACCGCTTTTAGGTTTAAACTCCCTGTCTAATTTAGTTTTGTCATCATTCCTAACACTATTTCCCTGTAATCTTTCACTTGGTTTACTCGCTCCCACTGCAGTCTCCTCCACCCCCGTGCCCATGTTCCCCTAGTAGTTTAAAGACTTTGATATCTTTTGAACTGCCCCCTCGAGAGACCCAGCCAGGGTTGCCACCCCATCCGGAGACAGGTGTACCCCATCCCTAGCATAAAGGTCCCTTCTGCCGTAGAAGTTGTCCCAGTTGTCAATGAATGGGACTGATATTGACTTGAGTATCCTTAACAGTTATATAGGCATTTATTTTCGATATAGCAATATTATTGACAATATATGAGACAATGAGTTTTAAAAAAAAGTCTATAGTAAGTTGATAAAAGCTGAAGAGGATTTAGGTTGAGGAAAACAGAGGTCCGTAGTAAGTGGAGGGTTACCTTCCAACTACAGTACATAGTCTTTTTCTCCTACCCCCAGGCCCGGGTGGGCTATTCCCCGTAAAAAAAAATAGATAAAAAATCGTAAGCCAAATATAAAAAACACGGGATAACTTACCTACTCGCCTTTGGGCGCCATCCAAAAACTGGGTGTCCGCAGAGGCCTGGTAGATCTCCTCTGTGGTAAGAGACGGGCGCTTGTATGTTAGTGAGTCAGCTAAGAGCAGAATTTATTAACAAAATATGGACTTTATCATTATTATAATGAGCACAGCAAACAATAAAACACTCACGCTGGGCCAGGTAAGCATATAACAGGAGTAGTATGACCTTCATCTTTGCTTGAAGACTTTGGCGGACGTTAACGTTGTTGACAGAAGTTTGCGGACTCTTGAAAAAGGAAAATAAATTTAAGTTATTATCTCCACCAACACATTTCAGATTTAATATAGCATAATGCATCACCACAAGCGAACCCACAATCGAGCGCTGTAACTCACACACACACGGGAATTGGCCTTGAGCATGACTACAAACAATTCCATTACATCAGCCTTCCTCTCACCTAGTATGTCGAATTTCAAAACACATCGGTTACTAAAGAAGGATAATTTATATCAACTCTATTTTGGGAGGAGTTCGTTTACAATTGCACACTTATTATCAAATGTGTTTCAATCACTTACATTTTACAGTTGTTCCATACTATGTAAAACTTCTGTTAAATACGGCAGCAAGGCTATATATTATCAGTGGTACTATATTGCTCACTTGGTAACTACTATATGAGGTAGGTATGATGGCGTTATGTCTACGTCCAAAAAAAAAAAAATACGTATAAATAATCTGTATGAGAAATATGATATTTAACTCTTTATTTTCCTCTGTTCATGTTGAGTTATTTTTATTATTTTTTCCTGTATTATTTACTATATCCCACATTGTGATCAAAAGCATTGAATTGCCACACACGCTAAGGAATCACACAAAAAATCATCACCCAGTCATAACACAAAAACTCATATCAAAATCATCAGTCATCACACTGTCCACCAGTCATCATACCGAAAGTCATCACACAAAGTTGTCCCAAAGAGTCATCACACTGTACATTAGTAATCATGTCACCAGACAATGACGTATCACACATGTCATCAAATATAGTCATCAGACATTCATCACAGAGATAATGGCAGTCATAGTCACCACAGTCATCACATATTGTCATCACAAAAAGCCGTCACAGTCATCACACATTCATTACAGTCATCACAAAGTTCCCAGACACCACACAGAAAGTCATCAGTCACCACCGAAAGCCCCCCACACGCACACACACACACAGCAATGACAAAGTATTCGATTTACTATTAGCAGACTACACGAGCCCACCCAACCTATATTATGATAGAATAAACTATTCCCAACTGAGCTATCCTAACTATCGCCGCTGGCTTCAGCTACAGTGCTGGCGTGTGATGCCATTAAATCTTTCGACCTGTGACCTCGCCTGTAGAAGTGTTTACAGACAAGTCCTGGTTCTGCTGAGTGGACTGTCTCAGACTGGTGGCGGTGGCTGCCCGCCCCTCCATGAGACAGATCGCCCTCTCTAGTGATGCTGTGAAGACCAGCCTTCTCCTGTCCGAGAATTTGTGCTTGGACGATTTACGCAATACTGTTTTCTCTTGGAACACCAGACTGATCTGCAATGACCCGCACTTGTAAGTACAGCCTAAGTGATGACATACCCCTCGGTACTGAAATATTGTTGAATAATTACGCCTACTCGTTTCTGCCTAACCTGGAGTAATAAGACAAAGCAGAGTGAAGAGAAGCTAAGATTAATAGAGTTATGAACTTTGTGTTATGTCAGTATGTTTGATAAATTGTAATTAAGATAAAATTGTGTGAGACTAACTTATTATGTATCAGATGGATCACCTTGTAATATTATGAACGCCTTCTCCTCTGCAGGTTTTGACGCATTCTGTCTGAAGCCAGCGGCGATAACACTAACTATACCTAACTTCCCTAAACAATCTCACCTAACATAATTTGAACCAAAGACCTAAAATAACCAATTTAAGTGAACTTAATCTAAACTAATCTAACTTACAATAGTCAACCCAACTCCATCTTTTCCGTGACACAAAAATTCTCAGAACTTTACTTACGGACAAATCTCCAGTACAAGAGAGTCGTAGACCTACCGGCACCTACTCGCTGATGTAGCTGTTGCTCTCACGTTCAGCTGCCGCACCTAACTGAAGCCTACTGCACACAAAACGCAATCCTTATATTTCGCCGCTAGTATTAAGTGCGTTGTTGTCATAATAAACAAAGCTGGGCGGCAGCAATGACAGCCATTTGACACCAACCATTCATACACTGGTGACTATACAACTGTTGACCATGACAGTGATGACACAATGCAAGCCGGCAATATTCATACTCTAATAGCCTGCCTGCACGCTTCCTCTTCGCTCATTATTACATCAAATAATATTACATCAGTATCTCTGGGACCTTTTAAATTAATAGCAATACTTGCTATACCATTAATAAGCCTTAACAATATATATATATATATATATATATATATATATATATATATATATATATATATATATATATATATATATATATATATATATATATACTGTACTGTACTGTATGTACAAATGTGTCAAGTATACTACAGTCATTTTCTATCCGACCACGGAACTATTGTATATTATTTTACTGCGATTGTTCGCCGGAACAATGGCTGACAATGTCAGTGTGAATTAAATTGTGGGTGTACTTAACACATCCGGGGACATAGCCTGATCTGTCCTCCAAATTTTGACCAAGTAAAGAGAGAAAGGGGGAACTGGAGGAACGCAAGAAAGCGACAAATTGACGCACCTGGATAGATTTATGTAGTTATAAAATTACTAATGAAACGTTAAATAACAACACTAATGTAATGTGAAGGAGTTATGTGGTACTGTATACATAACGCCGAAGACAAGCACTTATTCTACCTCCATGCCAAGAACACAGTTTGCGTGTTTCTCCAATGTGCGTAAGGGCACCTGTAGTAAAAAAAAATATGGCTGCGTGATCCTCACATAAAAACATAACACATATTTATATATTGTCCTGGAGTCTAAGGAATTTATCAATATTTACCAAATTTATCTGAAATATGTTGAGTGAAGGATAGCTTGTATATCCTTGTTTACATCTCATGCTACGCTGCAGGACGTACCAGCCTAATACAGTGGTGAAAACGGTTGTACAGGATACGTTAGTCTGAGGTACGGAACTCACGACCAGGAAGACATCCATGCAAGATGGAATAAATTAGTGAAACTTGGAACAAATTCGTTTATGATTCACACTCGTAATGGTAGTTGTGACATTAGCAGTGATAGTGCTATTATATCAATTCGTGACCACAATTCCGGAAACAAAATCATCCATCAACATTGCATAAAACACATTCACCAAGAGCCACATTGTAATTCAATGAATAGTCAGTTTATTCTTCCTGCAGAGCCGGATCAGGATAAAATAACCATTTACAAAAGCAGACAAAGCAGCCGGACCTGACTTACCATGAACTAATGATATCTAACGAGCTTCGGTAATTTTGGTGTACTATATTTTATAGTCGCTCATTGCTGCTCACCATTATTGCTTTGCACACTGGTTATGGCTACAGTATTTGTAGGGCCTCTCTAATAAAGAAAATTGAGCGTCGGATCCGGTTGATAACATCTTCCTATTATGAAATATGCAGTGGAACACAAAAGGTTCGACCTTGTAAATTTTCCACCAAGACAGATGATATTGATTGATGTTATAAATACTGTATAATAACCACACGCCAATAACTATAGTCTACAAACACGTATTCTAGGTTTGACAGGAGCATAAAATTTTTTCTTCGGGTTATTTATTAAAAAAATAAAACTACGGACACAAACAATAAATTACCCAGCTCTAAAGATCACAAACTGTGGGAGTCGTAGACAAGTGTGTAATATGACGTTCATCATGCTGTCTAGAATTTATAATTACAGTAGTTAACATTTTGCTTTTACGTTGAGGAATATTTTGTTACCGATCCAGATTTTTTTTCGGATAATCAAATTAATTCATCAATATTTTGTTTGTATCACAAGTGCATTATTTCCAACTGTACCGGAGGTCACTGTTGACTTTTTTACTTGATAAATTTTCTTTTGTTGTCTTTTGCCATACAATATCCTAAATATTTACAATGTCATCAATAGGCCTATTTTTGGGGTAATTATTCAGAACGTGACCACCGGCTGTTTTTTTCATTTAAAAAGACCTCGTTTTCACTAATTTTATTAGGGATTGGTGTAGTATGTCGGGGAAAATATAAAAATAACTGAAATCATGTGCTAACCTAATCTAACCTAAGAGGTATATTATTGTACTTACAGTTACTGCGACCGCTCTAACCACACCGTTTCAGGCACTTATTTCTGATGAAGCAACTGTTAAAATGCATAAAAACCTGTCTAAAAACACCACCCACCCACAATTACCGAACCATTGATGGTCACAACGTATATTAGCCTTATTTTTACTATAATTTACATAACATAAACTAATTGTTTTGTTCTAAATTATATAACTTTCATTAAACATGTTATAATATGAACTCGTCATTAACACATGACCAAAACTCATTTTAAAGTCCTCTAACCTCCTGTTGTCTGCCAAGTGTCCCCTCATCTGTCCCATACATCAGTCCTTGCCATATAAAGTCTTTCAGCAGCCTTTTTTCCCTTTTCATTAGGTCTTTTAGATTATTAAACGCTGCTTTTATTGCTCTATTCTTTTTTTTTATTTTTCCATACATCTACCATCACAGCTAATGTTACTTCACAAATACACAAGTTTTTCCTCTAGTAAAGTTTGTTGCCTACCATAATTTTTATTTTAGGCTTTATTTCCAATTTGGAAACAACCATTACTTTTGCCTTTACAGCATTAACCCGTAAACCATAGTTTTTTTTTACCCCTTTCCACTAATCAGTTAACTAGTTTATGTAATGTTTCTTCTCTTTGGTCATTTATTGTAAGGTGTTTTAAGATGCACGGAATAGCTACTGTCATTAAGAAACATGACATTGTACATTGTACTGCGTCTTGGGGAAAACTGTTGTACAAAACAGTCTTCAAAAAACAATAACATTGGGAGAACTGTTATTAGGACACAATACGGAGAGAAATTGTGAAGAAAATATTTCGAAAATTATGGAAAGACAAAAAAAGGAAAAAAAGTCAATCAGTCAACAATAAGGAATTGTAGCATAGTGTATATATATATATATATATATATATATATATATATATATATATATATATATATATATATATATATATATATATATATATATATATATATATATATATAATGTGTGTGTGTGTGTGTGCAGAACAGTCTGGTAAAGCATATTTTTTTTTTTTTTTTTTTTTTGGAATTATTAGCCCACCAGGGCACAGGTCACTGACCCACATCGGGCCTGGGGGCGAAAATGTAATTACTAATAATAATAATAATAATAATAATAATAATAAAGAACCACAAAGAAATACAAAATGAAAAAAAAATCAAAAGGGGAACAATATACAGTATATGTTGTGTTGTCAATAGTAAGAGAAACAATTGAGACCCTGCAATTGTGTGTAAATGAGGCAGAAAGTCAGATCAGCAACCTGGGACTTGGTCACATATGGCAGCAGGGTCTACCATTAGACAACACATTATGCTTCCAATATCTTCCCAGGCGGTAGTACCTCCCTGTTTGGTAGCTGCCTGTTACTGCCATGTTTTTGATCTCAGGGCACATCAAGCATGTTACCATGAGTCCTCATTAGACAACAGGTAGAACGGAAGATGATCCATTAATCCCATACCGAACTCATAAGCTACTAGGTTACCATAGGGGTGCCCATTCCATGTGATAGGATAATACATTTTCAATCTTAATCCTTTGATATCAGCTGGAAATTGCAACACAGGTACAGTAATATTTCCATGAGCCAGAATCCTTCAAACCCGGAACTCTCCGATAGCCGGAATTGAAATTTTCCGAGGGGCTCATTTTCTGGAAAATTCTGGAGATAGTTTTTTTTCCTGGGTTAGAGAGATGAAAATCAGGCACATTTTCTGGAAATTCAGAGAAAATTTTTCCAGCACAGTATACCTGGAAAATTCCAGGAATGGGGGATGTTTTTCCGGGTTCAAGAGATGATGTAATGGGCAATTTCTGGAACTTACGAGAACATTTCTTCATTACCCAGAAAATTCCGAGGATGAGTTTTTTTTTTCCGGCCTCGAGAGTCGTCACGTTACCCGGAAATGTCTTTCTCGGGAGTGCTCTGTACCAATTGTTCCGGCTAACGGAGATATCACTGTATATGGCTATTTCAGATGTGTCTGTGTTTTTCTTTCAGGAACTTGATTACTTACTTGACTAAAAAGAATTGAAATTTCCTAGTAAATCTGTCAGTGGTGGATTGTGTCTGAATCTGCAAATGTATGGAAATTGTTGTTGCCATAATTGGGCAGTGTGTATATTCAAGTACAGTATTGTATATTTCACAATGAGACTCGGCATCTATCTTTTACAATCCCAAAGTTGAGGGTGTGACATGATGAACTTGTGAAACAAAAGTGGCCAAATTTTTACATCACTGCATTTTCAAATACTGTACTGTAGATAACTTACAAATGATGTCTAAAAATAGTAGCAAACCAATACAGTACAGTACAGTATGCTCAAAACAAAACTACATACTGTACAATAAATCAATGTAATTTTGAAAAATTTCTTAAGTCAATGTGATGTAGGAGTGATACTGGCAAATTATAATTTCAACTGCTCGTAGTATAGCTCAATACTAGAAGATATTTAGCTTAGGGACAAACAAAAGACAAAATAATAAGAGCTGTATATTTTTTGCATGATGACCATGAACACGATTAGCCAAGACTGGGTGTGAAGAGGAGCCTAAGCAATATTTTCAGTGTTGTTAATAGAAACTTGTATAACTGATTGTATGTATTACAGCAGATATAAAATCTTTGAACAATATTCCCTTAAAATTTTATATAGTACCTGTATATATGTTATTTTTTAAAGCAATATGTCTACTTATAAATACCTGGACAGTTGGGAGGA